TTATGGTAAAATTTTGGAAAATGGGCGTGGCACCGCCCACTTATCACATATATGTATCTCGGTAACCGTTCTACCAATTTGTACCAAACTCGGTATGGCTATTGTGCTTGCCACACAGAAGTAAAACGTTGAAAATTATTGAAATCGGACTAAAATTACGGCCGCTTTCATATAACGGTAAATTTCAGAAATGCTTGAAATTTCAATATTTCGAAATTTAAGGACGATAATTTACTAAAAATTTATACACCCCGGCTTATCATGTAGCGGTAGCTTTCGGAAAGGTGGAAAACATATATTTAATACTTGCGCCGGGTATTTAATTTTCGGCTCCGCCCGAACTTAGACTTTCTCACTTGGTTTATATTAATTTCTTGGGCATATCAAACATTATCTGAAACATGTCAACTATAATTAAATTATCTTCTTACTTTTTACAGTACAGTTTAAGGAAGTTACAACGTTTTGTCTTGTATGCAAAACTCTTTTACAGAGTCAGTAAATTGAGAAAAAGTAGTTGTACGTTATAGGCAAAAGCCATTCGAATACTAAAATTTGCTGTTATTAACACTCGACAAAAATGTCAGCCTTCTTTTTAAATAATTTAAGCTCCATCATATTATCGCAACTGGAACGTAACGACCCGGTGAGAGGTCCATAAAACGGTTGATCTTTTTGTTGTATTAATTTCTTGGGCATATCAAACATTGTTGGAAACATGTCAACTATAATTAAATTATTTTCTTACTTTTTACAGTGTAGTTTAAGCAAGTCCCAACGTTATGTAAAAATCTTATGCAAATGCTTTAGTATTTTGTTTGAATTGAAAGTTCAGTAAAAATCAGTAGAAATTTTTAAAAATCAGAACATTAGCGTACTGATTGAAGAAATGAATAAAATCAGTACAAGAGTTGAAAAATCAGTACTGTGCTGACAAAATCAGTAGGCCTGGCAACCGTAAACAAAACTGAGTTAGCGAGAAAACAAAAAAAAAACTGTTTCTTGATTGCCCGCTGATCGTCGAGTCTGCAGAGCGGTAGAGAAAGCAAAACAAAATTACTTAAAGAATAATAGGAAAAGGAATTGTAATAACAGGTGTGCTGTTGCTGTTCGATGTTGGGAGAGCCAGTGTTTCCGAAACTGTCCAATCAAAAAATGTAAGTGTAGTACTCCACTCTACTTACTAAACTAAATTTATATTTGGCTATTAGTTAAGATTGTATTTTCAAATGGAAACATTTAGTTTACAATATGTATTAATAAGGATTAATCAATCAACTACATTACAATTCTTAAATAAAATTTTCGAGAGATATTTTTATATGTCAGCCACCCTAAATTCGATACCTGGCAACGCCCGTGAGCGTATGCGTACTCTAACCATAAACTTGTACTACTGCTGTATGCATATGGCTGTATTAATGTTTCAAACATACAAAAATCCATTAATGGAACAGTATTAAAACATTCTTACCAGATATGTATCCCCATATGTAAATGTTTCTTTTCTGATACATTTTAATATACGGGGACATACAAAAAAGTAGCATTTACATATGAAAATGCATATCTTGAAAAAGCCCATTTGTGCTGAAAATAGTATCGCACAACACGTCTGTTCACTAATATTTTTGTACAAGACTGAAAATATTACAAAAATCCCACTTCAAATTTATCAAGAAATGTACTTAAAACAACAACAACGGACGCTCGCTTGCAGTTCGCTAGAAATTGAATTTATTTGTGGAAATTCATGACTACGCATGATTTGTTCACACTAATTCACTCATATAGCAAGCATTCTTCATGAATGCATACAACTGATTTCTACTGGGATGGCACTGCGCGCGAAGCAGCCACAGTAGCCATGATTCAATAATACAAGGTAGGATAACCTGACAGTTGTCTCGCTCCCGCATTCTGCCTTAGCCTGTGTTGCTTGCTTTTTTGATTCATAGAAACTACTACTAAAATACAAGGAGAAATATTGCCTTCGTATAATAAAAAGTTCAACAGGCAACACTGCCTATATTTTCATAGATTGTTTCGTGGAAATTGATTTTCTTATTGCGCAAATTCATGTAAGTATGCCAAAAAAATCAAAAATAATGGAACTATTTTGAATTAAACCAATAATTTACATATTTCTTTGCAGAGTTTCATAGTTATTCAAAATTTTTATTCAAAAACCTGCGTTTTATAGCAAGTGCAGCCGTTGCAAGTAACGTTACGCGCACACTGCAGCCGGAATCGGCCGAATTGTGCTCGGCCGATATCGGCTGTATGCGGGCGATATGAATAAACACTTGTGATTATATGAGCGCTCTCACACATAAACCGATAACCGAATCGACAGCGGCCGTTGACGTCCGTCAGTGACGATAACTTCAAACATGTTTGTTTTTCTCGTCCGATGTCAGGTGAAAAGTACCAAAATGGACTGCGAAAAATTAACTTATTAGGTGTAAAAACTAAAAAATTACATATAAATCACATGTTTAGAGTATTTCAATTAAAATGTATCAAAATATTTCACTGCTTACAAAATGATATATATGATAATGAAAACTAGATTTGTGTGTACAAATACGGTCGGCAACTAATCTGGGTAAGTGTGCGCATCAATTCGGACGGTCAAATTTACCGGCCGAAATCGGTCGTCCTATCGGATGCAATGTACAATTACAATTACGTATACCACCCCATAAAAGTGAAAGTGCAAAGCTTTTTTCTTGTGCACGTCAGGATCACTTTGTGTGTCCGTTCACGTTCGCTGGTGCAGGTATTTTCACCACTGCAACCTTTGGTTTGGTCGAGTTCAGCCTTTGCATACTTACAAGTAAAGGTTTGATTATGCATACTTCACATAACTTCGCACAACTTCGCATAAACTTCAAACTGTAATTTCGTATGTAGTTTGTATGTATTTTTTATGTATTCCGTTGCCCAGAAATTAGCACAACTTTTAAAAATTTAGCGATCTTTTGAGTTTAAATTTTGCTTCCCAATTTCTAAAGTTACATTTTTATCGCACTGGTACAAATGGTTGTGCGAAGTATGCATAATCAGACCTTAAGTATACCACCCCATAAAAGTGAAACTGGAAATATTAACAGGGTTCGGAAATCCTCACTCACATTCTCTCACGTTCGCGACCGATAATATTCCAAATCAATTTTTGTATTCTTTTATCGCGAGTGAAAAATGCAAACAAATTTATCATCTCTCACATTCAGAATGCATTCGCAACCGCAGAGCTTCCACATTAAATTTAACATTCGCTGTCGCTTTCGCATTCGCAATAATCAATGCGGAGCTTTTACGAATGCGAATGTTTTGCAAGTGCACCGATAAAACGTATATATGGCAAACAAAATGACAAATTGTAGCCAATATTTTTGCCTGTGGTCGTGGGAGTATTTGTGTAGCAAAACTGGTCAAATGTCATATTTATCAACTTTGATAAAACTGTCTTTAAACAAGTTATTTCTTAAGCTATATAACCGAGCTACCAATGGGCACTCATACAAGTTCTCACTTCTACTTGACCTTTGACGTACGTGAAAGAGAACATATTCCTTTTAATAATATTGGTTTCTTTCATTTTTGTGATTTTTTTTTTGGACCAATCTTAAAAAAAAACTACTAGACACAAAAGAAAAAAGCGTGCACTGTAATTCTTAAGCAAATTTTCGAGTTTTGCTTTTGATGTTACATATGTGTGTTCGTATGGAATAGTAGCTTATGCCGACAAGCTGGCTTTAGTATAATGTGGCATTCCCTTTATCCTTTAAACGACAAGGAGTTTTTTGATGAGCCTTAATAAGAATATTGACTTGCTAGTATCGGAAATATTTCTTGCACGTTTATTTGCCAAAAAATCTTCAACGGCTCGGCGCCAGTGAGTCATTCGCAATCGTATGCTGCGAATGCCGCATTATACTAAAGCCAGGCTTTTGACATAAGCTACTATTCCATATGAACACAGATATGAGGCGATTCACGTCAAATGTCCCAAGCGCGCTGAGCGGTGCAAAACAAGCTTGTTTTCGAATAGCTGAAAAGCAGACAGAAAATGGAAAAAAATAATTCAAAAACCATGATTTATATTATATATTATTTTATATATATTATTTTAATTCGTTCAAACGAACGGAGTCGACGTGACGCGACGGAGCGTGGCGACTGGTATAGCCCGCTATAAAACGCTTTATAACTCGGAACACTCAAAAAAGTCCCTTTTTTATTAATGATTTATATGTAAAAAGACCTGATCTCTCGATTGAGATGACTTAAAACAATTTTAAAAATTACCATAATTGAGAAAAATTACAAATAAAATTTCGTTGCGAATTTTCACCGTGAAAATGGGAAAATTTAGGAAAACGCATAACACCATCGGATAGCCCGTACAAAAATCTATACAAATTATGGTTTTTGAATTATTTTTCCCATTTTCTGTCTGCTTTACAGTTATTCGAAAACAAGCTAGTTTTGCACCGCTCAGCGCGCTTGGGACATTTGACGTGAATTGCCTCATATCTGTGTTCATATGGAATAGTAGCTTATGTCAAAAGCCTGGCTTTAGTATAATGCGGCATTCGCAGCATACGATTGCGAATGACTCACTGGCGCCGAGCCGTTGAAGATTTTTTGGCAAATAAACGTGCAAGAAATAGTTCCGATACTAGCAAGTATCAAATGGGGCTCTTTGAGGAGTTTATTTTTAGCAAACATTTTAAAAATCGTAATTTTGTTTACTTGTCGGGCAATATTTTTTTCATAGGGATATACATTGGATCCTTGGCTAAAAACTTCTGTGACAAAACTGTCCCTTCTTGGCTATTTAAAGTCAAACAGTAAGCTCCTTCAATAGGGATTTACAACAGAAATGATCAACGTCTGGCTATAAAGAGAATCGATGCTCAAATAATTAAAAAAAATTATAGGTCTTACCTTTAATTATTTATTTATTTATTTATTTATTTATGTCTAACTAGCCAATGCCCGCTTACTTCGCGGCGCCTAATAAGACCTTTTGCGTTAGCCAATGCAAAAGAGCGTTTAAAATCAAAATTAGTCTGTAAAGTCAAAGTTTTTGATTTAAGTTGAAACCACTAAGGCGCAGTATCCTCCTCACACATAGGCCAATAATAGTAACGCCATAATACCATATGGAATACCAATCCCTTTTGGTGTCATGAGCTTTACTGATGGTCTTATTTTCACCTGTGAGATCTCTGCCAATCATGCGTAATCTTTTTGTATGATCTTACGTATGCCAATAAAAGTTCTTATAGGGAAACTCAAG